TATATATTTGTTCAAAGGATATTGAATCTATAAATCTCAATTGCGCGCTATTTATTTGTCATAAAAATCCCCATTCAAGGATATTGATATTCAAGGATTTATTAACGAATCCACGAACATTTTTTAACAATCTTTTACGGTTCTTTCGTTTCATTTATAGAAACAGTAGATTTTCTAAAGAATCATCTATCATGGAATTAATTAATTTGCGTAAATTAACAGAAATTTCGATAGTTTCTGCATGAACTATGATTGCTTTCTAACGCAAGGATAACGAAGGATAACGCAAAGCAATCACAATTAAAAACTTCTTGAAACGAACCGAAAGTGCAGCACTGACAATCAAACTAACAAAAAAGGAGTTTATTTATTATTTAAAAAAGAGAGTCAATGAATCGTAGAGCAAGGAAACATTTTATAAAACCCGAAGTGCATTATACAATTAACAAAAGAACAATTTCGAAAGCTACGACGACGCATTAAAAACGATCGAATTATTTAAACAATATTTTTCCCTTTCAATTTCTCCTTCGTAACTTGGCTGACAGGCTATTAATATCGATTGAGACTTTATTGTACAAACTGTTGAACGGCATCAATCTTGATTTGCACGTGACTTAATAACGATAAATTACTTGAAAACACGGTATGCCTGAATATTTATTTAATTAAACTATTTATCTTCTTATATAGAATGAATCTTTATGAAAACTATTATCAAGCTGATAGATCAGAAGGAACTTCTTGTCTCTTAGCTGGCGAACAATTGTGAAAGCAATCCGAAAGTTTAGTCAATTCAAAGATTTAACGAGACGACGAGCAACCAATTATTGAAAAAGGAGAGGAAAACAAATTCAATTACGTAAAAACGCTATATTCACACATAAATCTATGCTACTATTTTATATTTTTCTACGCCATCCATTCTATTATCCCGTCGCTCTCCCCTCTCTCTCTCTCTCTCTCTCTGCACGTATAATTAAATTCTTAATCGACTTAAACACTTTTATCCCACGCAGTTCTCTTTCACCATGAACTTTCGCACGCAATTTTCAAGATCGTTTAACGAATCCAATTCGCGGCACGGCTGTAAAATGAGAAATTGTAATAAAAGTAGAATTTTAGAGTAACTATTAGTAATATACGAAGACAACTTTTAACACGTTTTAGAACTTTGTGGCTGTCTTTAAT